GTTTTATAGGTTGATTTTTTTATTCAAAAATTAAAAGCAATCCCTAAAAGCTGAAAAAGAAAGATGAAATAAACAAATATAGCTATGTATCCAATTTGTGATATGTGTATGGTAAGATAAAACAATTGAGTAGTATGTTGTTACCATCAGGAACGGGGATATTTGGTGAGAGGCAAGGAGGAGAGATTGGAGAATAATAGAAAGCCTCAACGGTATTGCTAATGCTAGATGTTCAATACATAAAAATTATATATATGCGTTAAAAATATTGAATGCATTGATGAATGAAAGGAATATCATATATCTCCTGTGGAGAATGGTGTTAGGGACACCAATTAGTAAGCTGCTGTAGTAAATGCTCAGGGCAGACAAGATGAGATCAAATTTGGACCAGAGTGGAATATTTTTGTGTGTTGAGAACTGCTATAATCTGTTATGTATTCAGGGAAAAAAAATACAATGCAGGACTTTCTGGTAGATTGTATATTAGTTATGAGAAAAAAGAATTCTGAATTATTCCTAAGATTTTTACTTCAGGGAGGTTATGATATCTCTTTCCTTCGTGAGCATTAATTTTAGTATCTGTTCTGCCTTTTTTGCTTGTTTTTTTTTAATTCCTGGGCAAAGGAGATATTAATTCTGTTTGTATGTGTGTGGAAAGGTACCTTTTGATCTTTTTCATTATGAGTCAGCTTCAAGCATTACAGAGTAATTGATTTGATTGGTTTTCAGGCAAGGGACTTGGAATGAAGAGGAGTCCCATTTTTTTTTTATTTTAATTTTTAGTTTATTTTTTTGGAATGGTTTTATTTTAACAGCTTCATTGAATCTGGATTTTATAGATCAATAGTACCAGACAAGAACATTTCTTGAGTTTGTGAAACACATCTTAGTGCCAGGCAACTGGAAGATGTTTGATAAATGCTTTTGGAAACATAAGGAAATAAATGACTAAGCACCAACTGAGACTAGGTATTTTTCATGATGGAAACATTTCAGTCACAGATCCTGCAGGTAAAGACTTTAAAGTTTATTGGGAGAGAAAGACGTTTAAATTCTTTTCATGCAGTGGGAAAAAGAGAGACTGGGTCTCAGCTAGAATTTAGTTCAAATTCTGATTCTATTGTTTAAAAAAATAAAAATAAAAGGAGTCCCATTTTAAATTGGGAATTTAAACAACTTTGAAAGGACTGGGGCAGGAACGAGTCATAAAAGAGAAACCTAGTCTCTGGCCAAATTATAATTGACAAGGGTGCAGATACAGGAAAGATATTGGGAATACCATCTTTGTTTCGGATGTTGATTTCAACCGTTTGTTCACATTCAGTGTTAATTGGGGCTGAGACTTGTATAGAGGATGTTCCTAGCAGAGAATATTTGCATTACAGTTCTCACTACCATGTATGCTTTCTGCTTTCACATACTAGCTTCAAGGCATCGGTATTTTGTAATGAAACTTCTTTATAAATGATGTGACATGGAAAGCACATGGTTGTCCTAATGTCATATGGGCAGCTTAAGGAGCTGATGCTACAATCCAGAACATAGGTATCTGATAGGAATTTTTCCAGAGTCTGGAGCTCTGATATAGATCTGGAAAGATCTCTCCACAATAAAACATTTAATATTATATGACTACAGATTCACAGTAGTAAAGAATTAAGAACTGAGACGTTTCCTCACCAGCAAGTAGTAAAGTCTAACATTTGTATCTTCATTCAGTATCTTCATTTTCCTCTTTAGTTTTTATTTCCTGTTTTAAATAGAAACATCAAGAAAAAATTCTGGCCAACTTCCTGTGTGGTTGAGTACAGAACTGTTGTAAGGGAGGGAAAGAAAAACATGAAGTGAAAAATAAGATAATCTCTGTTAGAACAGAACAGGAATTTCAACCAGATCCTGGGGTATTGATCAGAAAAATGAAAATATCCTTAGCTAGTGAAATATAGGGCTAATGGAGACAAACTCGTGTCTCTAAGGCCAAATGAGGACTTAATCTCCAGTGTGGCAGATTTTCAGAATTTTCAAAATGTGGAAGATGCCAGCATAAGACCAAGTACAGATATGGAGTCCCATGTAGAAGCTATAGGGCTTCCACATGACATTGGCATCTACCATCTCTGGGCAGAAGTGAATCTCCCCAGTACTCTCCTGGAGGCTTCCATTACCTCCTTGTTTCTCAGACTATAGACAAGAGGGTTCAGTGTTGGAGTAATGATAATATAAAATACAGAGAGAATGTTGTCCTGTTGGGGACTATGGTAGTAATTGGGCTGGATGTACATCAACATGGCAGCTCCATAGTACATTCCTACCACAGTCAGGTGAGAAGAGCATATGATGAGGACTTTCTTCCTTCCCTTACCCGAGGACATGTGAAGGAAAGCAATTAGGACAAATGTATAAGAGGCAAGGATAGCAGCAAGGGTAGGCATGAGAAAGATCACACCTATCACATATACCATGTGCTCATATATGGAGGTATCTGCACAGGCCAATTTCAACAAGGGTGGGATCTCACAGAGTAGGTGCCTGATTTTCCGAGACACACAGAAAGGAAAGTGCATAGTCTATGAGGTGAGTATCACAGCATTCAGGAATGCCAGGATCCAAGGTGTGGCTATTGTGAGCCAGCATATCCTTGGCCTCATGCGGACCATGTAGTGCAAAGGATGAAAAATAGCCACATACCTGTCATAGGCCATGAACGCCAGTAGTAAGTCCTCTGCACCTCCTGAAGTGAGAACTACTAACATCTGAAAGGTGCAGCCTTCAAAGGAGATGGTGTTCTCCCCATGCAGATAATCCACAAGCGTTTTGGGAGTAACTGCAGATGCAAACATCAAGTCCATGAGAGATAGCTGGCTAAGTAGAAGGTACATAGGTACATGGAGCCAGGAATCCATTATAATGACCAAGAGCAGCAGGCCATTACTGGTCAGGGCCAACATGTATAGGACAGCGATTGTGGCAAAAAGCAGTTTGGGAACCCCACTGTCATTCAGAATCTCCGCTAATGTGAAGTCATTTCCCAAGGTGGAGTTCCAGAGCTCCATTCTGTGGTTTCTTTGCTTGTCTGAAATTACACAAGATTTAGGTAAAGTAGTTCTGATGTGATATCTGGAGACTCCTTGGCTTTATAATATTATAGCCTTTGATCAGCAAGATTAGTTGTTCTATTTATCATATTGTATTATACTTTTTTATTCATGAATTAACTCACCATTATGTACCGATAACATGTTGCAAAAGAGCACATTTCTTCCCTACTTCTGATGTTTCCTTCATTGTTAGGGGAGTCCCATTGTGCAATAATTCTGGGCTTGTCTCTGCCTTCTACTTCTACTCTGCCATTTACTTTTTCTGAAAAATGTGGAGCAACTTAATGGGAAAGATTAAAGGGAAAATCTGGGCACATGCTAACCAGCCTCCTTTTCAGGAGATATAGGGTCTTTGAGAGGGCAAATATGTATTTCCCTCTCTCCCACCCAGGTTTTGAACCAATTGAGAAAGAAGATATTTGTGCAGGCCAAAGTGTCACCCCTAGGAGGCTTGAACTCACGAACCATGAGATCATGACCTAAGCTGATATCGAGTCCAATGCTTAACCGACTGTGCCACCCAGGAACAGGCTTCATTTTTTAAAATTTTTATTCCAGTACAGTTAACACATAGTATTAAATTGGTTTCAGATGTACAATGGAGGATTCAACAATTCTATATATTATTCACTGCTCATCAAGAAAAGTCAACACTTGGGGCGCCTGGGTGGCTCAGTTGGTTAAGCGTCCGACTAAAGCTCAGGTCACGATCTCACAGTCTGTGAGTTTGAGCCCCGCGTTGGGCT